TATCCCCTCCCTTCCCCCCAAGAACGAGTATAAAAGGACGAGCGCAACGCGAGGGAGCTCAGTATCAGAGTCTCCCAGCCCTGATGAAGCAGACTGCAACGCCTGCGAAACGTCGGCACCACACTGCAAACGGACGCGGCAACCATCCGGAAGCCATGAAGACTAAAGTTGAATTAACATTCAACTAAAAGTAATATACTAGGAAAAGGAATTGATTCGTACAATTGACATTCGATTTTATCTTACGTGTAAGAAAAGTCGTATAAAATTTTGCATTGTTTGCATATTTTTGTACCACTTCCAATTCTGCCTGAGTCTTTAACATATTCCAATCGTATCGAACGCTATATCGAAGATATATTTGATCTACCACAAATAAAATATTTTGTTCTGTTTTTTTGGTGTTTTATGTCCATTAAGGTACTTTTTATTATTATCATGTAATTTCAATGGTTTTTAATATATTGAATAATTATGTCATAATATATGATGTTATCGAAATCAGGAAATAGAAAAAAGTGGATTAAAAAAATATTAAAAGTCTTAAAATAATTAAAATATTTTACCAAAAACTCTTACAACAACGGAGTTCTAAATGCGTTAAAACTAATTGTAAGTGAATTCTTACCTTATCGCTGAGTATGAGGCCTGTGTTATAGTTTAGTATAGGTATACTAGACAAAATGATGATCATCAACACTTTGGTAATACCATCGATGCTGTACTGTTTTACAAACGACTGGATGCACTGAAAGCAACAACCTTATTGAACGAATATAGAAAATTGCATGACGACCCACGGCTGGCAAATTCTAATTAAAAAAAAATTCATTGCGAAAAATAATACCTCAGCCAGGGTTTGAACCTGGACCTCCCTACACTCTAGGCGAGCGTCTCAACCAATTCGACCACCGAGGCACATGGTAATATTTATCGCAATAAACATAGGTCGTTATGCAATTTTCTACATTAGTTAATCAACTACTGCCGTTAAATAATTCTTTACCTTATTGAACGAGTATAGCACATATGTAAGTAAACACTAATTTAGGTAAAAATTTATTCATTTAATATTACAGAGACTTGTCAAGTTTTGTATCAGAGCGACTTGACATAAACATTCATTTAAATAAATAAAATACACGTGGAATAAGAAATTTAATACCTGACATATTAGAAAGGATATGGATAACGTTTGGAAAAAGATTATTTGTACTTTCTTGAAAGTTGAAATTTGATAAGGCCACAGACCGAGAGATAACAGAAGAATTCTATTCAGCTTATAATACCGTTCTCCAGCGAAGTCCATCTTCCACGAAAGCTGAAATGCGTATGTCAGGAATAACGTTGCAAAATTGTATTTCCCCCTCCATGTATCGAATTTAGATAGACGATAAATTTTTCTTTCTTAGACTCAGAAGATAATTGTAAAAGTGACACTTAGTTTACCGTGGGGTAAATAGCAGGTGTATGAAATTCATGAAGCACCGGTAAGGAGAAAATAGGTGTATATGTATAGTAAATAGAGAGAATAAGTTTCCTCGATTTTCTCCCGCCTCGACTATAAAACGAATAAGTCAATAAAAATGGTATTATCAAAATTAGCAAAATACATCGTATATTTTTTCCTTAGAAATAGATGTGTTTTTATGTCAAACATCATGTTTTACGGGTAACTGTACGGGTAACCTGTGAGCCTGGATAATTCAGTTGGAAGAGCATTCGCCCGGTAAGCGGAAGGTCCCCACACTGAAAAAAATTTCTGGTTGAATATGGACGAATCAGATAATTTCTTCAGGATTTACCAGAATTCCTTTAGGATTTACCAGAATTCCTGTAATCCTACAGAAATTATGGTAAATCCTAAAGGAATTCTGGTAAATCCTAAAGGAATTATCTGATTCGTCCATATTCAACCAGAAATTTTTTTCAGTGCAGGTTCGAATTCTGGTCTGGTCTTATTGTTAGCCCGTTATTTTTCTCGTCGAAAAATTACTAAGTGGTGCGTCTTAGTGCCTGTGTGCAGGTGTGCCCCCATTTATTACTATGGTAACCATCACTATTGTACCTGCTCACCACTTTATTATTACACGCGTCGACTCCGTTCTAGTGTAGTTCATAGAACGTCTTTACAATATACATACATACGTACAATAGCAACACTTTTCATATTTCATGTCTATTGATGAATTTAAAAAGTTGGATATAACGGTGCAGTAATGCAACGAACGTTTTGCATAATTGTGGAGAGTGCAGATTATTACATGTTTCATTGTGCGTGTATAAAGAAGTAAACATATTGATTACCTTTCCAATGTGTGTTCACACACAGCAGTGCACATTTCCATTACTTCTACAGTCGGTAGACGTTGTACTTTTATTATTCCTGTTAACGCGATAGATGTTGTGTAACAATTCGTCTAATTAGAAGAATTTCATCATTCAGCTGAATGATGCGCGTGGGGAATATTGTCAAAGACGCTTATAGAGTACGGCGAAAGTGTGAGAAACTGTGCGTGACGCACGTAGGGGTGTAGTGTACTCACGCACGTACGTATGTCTGTCGTTTATGGCGTAATTCATGCGTAAATTCGCACCCGAATGCCGCACAGTGACATAGGGAGTCCTTATACTCAAAGAAGTACATACTAATTACTTGTAAGAGATGATTGACTCCATAAGGTTGCGTATTTCTATCACGTCGAGGTCACCAATTTGTCAGATCTCCGGTTCCGCAAGTTCACTCGGAAAGAAGACGACTAATGTTTTGAAAGGATTAAATATTTTGTGGATTTATGTACCGTATCCGAAGACGCTTCGCAAAAATGTTAGTCGACCTTTCGCTCTCTATAAGAAATGTGAGGTTTGGTTAGAGTAACCCTGATTGGGCCCCATTTCTCAGGAAGTAGTTCTTCCTCTTCTGAGATACCTTCTTCCCATTCAGTTGCCTTGTTGAGTTTTCCTCAAGGATTGCTAGTGAGCCTTTATTTGCGCTCAGGCTATTGAAGTGTTGAATCATGAAGGCGGCATTAAGTTTTATGTATTATATATTTAGTGCTTTATCATATTATGTTATATTGAAAAAATATAAAAGTAAATTATATTAAATGTGTGCACCGAAAAAGGGAAATTATATTAGAAAGATATGTTTATAATGGAAAAGGAAGATAAAAAGTAATCCAAAAATATGTCTTAATCTATGACACAATAGCAATAATTTAAAAAATGCATTGTATTATTATTTAGTTTGATTTAATTTATTAATGAATATGTGGAATAGCACATGTAAAATGTACTGTACATATCCTAGACCTACGACTCGGATACCTACGAGTACAACGTAATTATTACTTCTTTTTGCTTTCGGTGTGTGTTCCCATGGATTGAAGAACGATAACATAGGATATGGACGTACTTAGAAGCTATAAATATTATGACTAATAAATATTTACAATCTCTTTCTGTCATTGAATTCATCAAAATTAAATTACCGGCAATATTCCTTACCGTAGCAAAACCTTCTAACGACGCGTCAAATAAAACTCCAATTGTTAAAACACTGTGTTTGTTACTTCTTTGTATTATGAGTGGTATTAACTTTTGCATACATAATGGCGCAGCGTACCAATGTGCATTATATCTATTACATACACAAATACACATATACAGCAATTAATACAAATTAATATATTTGATTAAATGATATTATTAAATAATCAAATGTGTTTACTTACGTCGCTTGAGATATGGCAGTGCTGCTATCTATAATGTTCTGACCAACATAATTTCCCAGGAAAACGCAATATAATTCTATAAATATCACTGAACTGCTTAGAAATATTTCCAATTTTTCCCAGGATGTTAATGCATTAATTATCTTGAATCGTACATTATTTATTTATTTTATAACTTTTCTGTAGTTTTATATTTGAATGTCATAATAATAATTAACTTTTATTCGCATAGACGATATAATATTCTGTTCTTTTGCATTTACGCTTACATTGCAGAAACTGAGACTCATCAAAGCCACAGAACATACTAATAACACGATATAGAACATCGAAAAACTGTTCGTTAGAATATTGGCTGAACTTTAACAACGAAATATGTATTAATTTTCATTCGTAACAATAATATTTTGGCCTTGCGCTCAGCCTTTTTTGCAAGGATTTTTAGACATATTTAATTTAAAAAATGGCAGTTTATTAAATTCTGCTGTTTTTAGCGTTGACGATTAGATGTTATGGTATAT